TATTTACATAACAAAATTCTTTCTGCCACTGTGGTCTAATAAAAAAAGTTTATAAGGTGAGATTTTGTGGGCTGAAAACCTGGCTAGATGTTGGCGAGAAGGACAGGAATTTATATGAGGGCAAAGGCAATAGCGACATCTTTTGGTGCAATGGAGCAACAATAATTTACAGCACCTTTCATGTCTGGGGAAACCTGATGTGTGGACAATTGAGATCCCACTGTCATCCTTAACACAAAAATCAATACTTCACATATGTTGTCAGTCACTACACTTGAAAGAGTTGTATGTGGTTGAGGGGAAAATATCAATTAACAACCATAGATATTGTTATTCAAGATCCTCATCCTCACCTACAAGGCCATTCACGGCCTCGCTCCCTCCTACCTCTCCGACCTACTATCCCCCTACCTACCTGCCCGTACCCTCCGTTCCTCTGGCTCCGGTCTGCTCCCCCGCCCCAACCGCCCTCCCATCGGTGGCCGGGCCTTCAGCCTCTCAGCCCCGAGGCTCTGGAACTCTATCCCCCAGTGCCTTCGCTGCCTCCTCACCTTTCCTCCTTCAAGGCCGGTCTCAAGACCTTTCTCTTTGACCGTACCTTCAGCTCCCCTCTCGACTCTCTACCCCCTCCTCGCTCCCTTCCCTCCTCTCACCCTGACTTTCCCCCTCCTCTCTCCCTCCTTCCCTCCTCTCACCCTGACCATTTCCCCCCTCTCTCCTCCTCCCTTCCCTCCCTTCACCCTGACCATTTCCCCCTGCTCGGGTCCTGACCCAACTGTCCAGTGCCTTGGGACGTCCTCCCGACGTGAAAGGCGCTCTATAAATAGAATCTTGTTGTTGTTGTTGTAGATAGAAATTCACAAAATACATTGTTTTCAGTGAAGAGCAAGTGCCTGAGCTGGAGAACAATGCCATCTAAAGGCTAAAATCTGCCTTGCAGTTTTGGATGTTCAAAGATACAGAATCCAGGACTGTCAATTATGTCCAGTGATTCTCTCTGCGCTTTGGGAAAGAGTTAGTTACATCTGTGTTTCACTGTTTAAAAATGAAAGCATTCCCTGATTGCTCTGCAGGTGATGCTGGTAGGAAATGTACAAGTCTCGCTGGAGAGTGACAGCAGGACTAGACATGTCACTCTGCTCCATGGCTCAACTCACCTTCCAGACTCACAGATGAAGAATGTTGAGAGTTCTGCGAGTGCCTGTGGATCCAACACCCCAGAAGCTTTCAGAAGCAGGGATAAAATAGATCACATAAGAACATAAGAATTAGGAGCAGGAGTAGGCCATTCGGCCATTCGTGCCTGCTCCGCCATTCAATAAGATCATGGCTGATCTTCTCACCTAACTCTGATTACCTGCCCTATCCCCATATTTCCTAATCCCTCTATTTTTCAAGAATCTATCAGTCTCAGCCTTGAAAATGTTCAAGGACTGAGCATCTACAGCCTTCTGGGGGAGTGAATTCCATAAGTTCACTACCCTCTGAGTGAAGAAATGTTTCCTCAACTCTGTTCTAAAAGGCTGAACCTTAATTTTAAGACCTGGTTATAGATTCTCCCACCGGGGAAACAGTCCCTCTGTGTCTACTTTATCAGCCCTTTAAGAATCTTATAAGTTTCAATAAGATCTCCCCTAATTCTTCTGTACTCTAGAGAATACAGCCCCAGTTTATTCAGCCTCTCCTCATAGGTCAGTCCCCTCATCCCAGGAACTAACCGAGTGAACCTACGCTGCATCCCCTCGAGGGCAAGTATGTCCTTTTTTAAATAAGGAGATCAAAACTGCACACAATACTCTCGGTGCGGTCTCACCAAAGCCCTATACAGTTGCAGCAAGACTTCCCTACTCTTATATTCTAAACCTTTTGAAATGAACGCTAACTGCCGTTCGCCTTCTTAGTTGCTGCTGTACCTGCAAACTAACTTTTTGGGACTGGTGTACAAGGACACCCAAATCCCTTTGAATACTAACACTATCTAACTTCTCCCCTTCCAGAAAATAATCTGTTCTTTTATTCTTGCTACCGAGGTGAATAATGTCACACTTGCTAACATTGAATTCCATCTGCCACCGACTCGCCCACTCCCCGAGCCTATCTGTATCTTGTTGCAATCTTTTTGCATCATCCTGAGAGCTCACTCTCCCACTGAGTTTAGTATCATCTGCGAATTTAGACACATTACATTCAATGTCCTCGTCCAGATCATTGATGTAAATGGTAAATAGCTGAGGCCGAGGCACTGATCCTTGTGGCACTCCACTAGTTACATCTCCTGCCAATTCGAGAATGATCCGTTTATCACTACTCTCTGCTTTCTACCCGATAGCCACTCTTCTATCCATGTTAATATTTTCCCATTAATCCCGTGGGCCTTGATCTTGAGTAACAGCCTTTTGTGTGGCACCTTGTCAAATGCCTTCCTAAAATCCAAATATACTACATCTACTGGTTCCCCCTGGTTCACATTTCGGCCTCTAGCGAAAGAGAGGTGTAACTTGGTTGTGGAAGTCGATGGGGGGTGGGGGATTTGAGGGGGGGATTGATCTTTGATTGTGAATTGGGGTTAGGCCACTTGGCTTATTACTGTCTTGCAGGCCATCTCCGATCTCCTCACTGAGGCCACACTGTCCACCGCCCACCATTCGAGCACCTTACCCTCTAGCATCCCACCAATCTTTCCCTCAAAATTCTCCTCATTTACCGTCCCCCCCAAAACCTCCCCCACCTTCATCTCTGACGTCTCCACCCTCCTAGCTTCCCTCTGCCTCGAGCTCTATTCACCACCAACTGGCTCCTCCGTCCACCCTCCCACGCCTCGCCCATTCTCTCCTCAAGCTCTGACTGTGAGGAAATGCTGGATTTCTTCGAGTCCAAAATCAGGAAAATCTGTTCAGCTGCCTCCACCTTCCCAACCGCCATTCCCACCCCCATCTCCCTCCCATCCTCCGACCCCTACCCAACCCTCCCTACACATTTTCAAACCTGTCTCCCACTCTCTCTCATCACCACCATATCCAGCATGAAACATACTCCTTTGACCCCATGTGCACCCCTCTCCTTACCTCCCAGCTCCACCTCCTCGCCTCTCTACTCTCCGACACTATCAATCTCTCCCTATCATCTGACACTGTTCCCTTCCCTCTAAAACAGTTATAATTACCCCCAACCTGAAAAACCTTCCCTGGACCTCTCCCTGCCTTCTAAATACCAGCCCATCTCCAACCTCCCTTTTCTTTCCAAGATCCTTGAAAGAGTCGTTGCTTCCCAGCTTCCCAGCTTCGCTCATTCCTCTCCTACCACTGCTTTCACGAGCCCCTCCAATCGGGTTTCTGTGCTGCTCACAGCACGGAAACTGCTCTGATCAAGGTGACAAACGACATTTTGTCCATCTGTGACCAGGGCTCCCTCTGCCTCCTTGTCCTCCTCAACCTCTCTGCTGCTGTTGATACCGTGGACCACTCCATCCTCCTCCACCATCTCTCAACTCACCTCAATCTTCAAGGTTCTGGCCTTGAATGGTTCAGGTCTTATCTCTCACACCGTCTCCAATTTGTCTCTGCCAATGGTTTCTCTTCCAGCCCCGCACAGGCTCATCCTTGGTCCACTCTTCTTCAAGCTCTACATATTCCCCTTGGTGACATCATCCGCAGACTAGGGGTCAACTTCCACATGTATACAGATGACACCCAACTGTATCTCTCTGCCTCCACCCTCGATTCCAGGACACCTGATGTCCTGACTGACTGTCTGCCTGTCTGACATCAAATCCTGGATGAGAGCTAACTTTCTACAGCTGAATGTCATTTTTACCCGCCCGAATGTGATTTTACCCTCCAAACTTTCTTTCCAGTCCACCTTGGCTCGGTCCCTTTTTAACTCACTGAGATTTGCCCTCTTCCAGTTGAATATCTTCACTTTAGATGGTTCCTTGTCTCTTTCCATGTGCACTCTGAATCTAATGATGTTATGATCACTATTGCCCAGATGTTCTCCCACTGAAACCTGCTCCACTTGTCCTACGTCATTCCCCAGAACTAGATCCAGCACTGTTTCCTTCCTCGTTGGGCTGGAAACGTATTGATCAAGAAAGTTGTCCTGTATTCGTTTTAGGAATATTTTCCCCTCCTTGCCCTTTGCGCTGTTGTTTTGCCAGTCTATATTGGGATAATTAAAGTCCCCCATTATCATGACTCTATTGGCCTTGCATCTGACTGAGATCTGCTTGCAGATCTGCTCATCTATTTCCTTCCCACTATTTGGTAGTCTATAGTATACCCCGACCAGTGTAACAGCTCCTTTTTTGTTCCTTAACTCTAACCAGATAGATTCTGTTTTGGGGCCCCCCAGCACCTCGACCCTTTCCACGGCTATAACCGTATCCTTGATTAACAATGCCACAGCCCTCCTTTTTTTCCTTCCCTATCCCTCCTGAATACATTATAGCCAGGAATATTCAGCCCCCATTCCTGTCCTTGTTTGAGCCAAGTCTCTGTTACTGCTACTACATCGTATACCCCTGTGACCACTTGAGCTGCAGCTCACCGGATGGGGGTGTGGGGGTGAGGGTGGGTTGAGGATGGGGTGTGAGGGTGGGTTGAGGATGGGGGTGTGGGGTGAGGGTGGGTTGAGGATGGGGGTGTGGGGGTGAGGGTGGGTTGAGGATGGGGGTGTGGGGGTGAGGGTGGGTTGAGGATGGGGGTGTGGGGGTGAGGGTGGGTTGAGGATGGGGGTGTGGGAGAGGCCACGAGCTGATTTGCTCAACATTGTCAACCTCCCCCCTCTCCCCCACAGCCATGTTGGTGACCAGCATTGTGTCCTGTGTGGGGGGGGGGTGGGGTGTGTGGGGGCGGGGCCCTCTGTGGGTGGGCGGGGCTCTCTGTGGGTGGGCGGGGCCCTCTGTGGGTGGGCGGGCCCCTCTGTGGGTGGGCGGGCCCCTCTGTGCGTGGGGGCGGGGCCCTGTGTGTGGGGGCGGGGCCCTGTGTGTGGGGGCGGGGCCCTGTCGGGGCGGCGTTGAAACGGAAGTGGATATGTGACGTTTACCGGAAGTCATACCGAGCTGTGACGGGGGAAGATGGCGGCTTTCAGTAAAGCGGGGAAACAGGCGCAGCGCAGCCACCGCGAGCGCTCACAGGTACAGCCCCACCCCCCCCACACACCCCCCCCCACACCCCCCCACACACCCCCCCCACACCCCCCCCCCACACCCCCCCCCCCACACAGCCCCCCCCCACACCCCCCCACACACACAGCCCTCCCCCCCCCCCACACACACCCCCACACACCCCCCCCACACACCCCCCCCACACAGCCCCCCCCACACAGCCCCCCCCACAGCCCCCCCACACACCGCACCCCCCCCCTCCACCCTCACACACACAGCCCCCCCCACACACACCCCCCACACAGCCCCCCCCACACAGCCCCCCCCACACACCCCCCCCACACACCCCCCCCCACACAGCCCCCCCCACACACACACCCCCACACAGCCCCCCCCACACAGCCCCCCCCACACACCCCCCCCACACACCCCCCCCCACACAGCCCCCCCCCACACAGCCCCCCCACACCCCCCCCACACACACAGCCCTCCCCCCCCACACACACACCCCACACCCCCCCCCTCCACACCCCCACACACACAGCCCCCCCCACACACAGCCCCCCCCCACACACAGCCCCCCTCCACACACACACACACCCACACACACAGCCCCCACACACACAGCCCCCCTCCGCCCCCACAGCCCCCACACACACAGCCTCCCCACACACACAGCCCCTGACACACACACACACCCACACACCCCCCCCCACACACACCCCCACACACAACCGGGGGAGATGAAGGCAAACACAAGCCGCTAATGAATAAAAGCCAGTGTCCGTGTGTGCCCCCCCACTGGCTGTCAGTCAGCCCTGAGCGCCGGGAGATGAGCGGGGGCTGTAACTGGGCTGATTGTGGCCTCAGTGACAATCTGTCTTCTGCTTTAAATGTTCTGTCGCTGACACCGTGTGGTGTGGTCTGGCCTGGGCGGCGCGGGCCGGTTACAGCAGGGATTGGCCCTGAGGTTATCGAACTTGGATTGAATGAAACGCAAGGTATTTTTGCTGATGCTTTTCCTCTTACCCGGATTACAGCCAGCTTTCCGGAAGCGTCTGGGTCTGTTGGAGAAGAAGAAGGATTATAAGCTTCGTGCACAGTGAGTATATTGCAGGGTTATTGATGAGTTTTTTTTGTGAAATGTTTTGAGGGAAAAAAAGTTGTGTGCATGAAAAGAAGGCAAGTACAGCTCCGAAACAGACCAGTTGGCCTATCCACTCTGGCTGTATATAAATATATATATATTTATGTTGATGTATATAACATATTGATCTACAGTAAAAGTCACAAATCGTATCAGTTCGGACCCTAACATGTTAGCATGACTTGCGCAAAGTCCACGATGCAGGTATAAATCAGCCAAGTTGTACATCTGCCCAAATCCCATTGAATTTCCTGTTAAATCCACATAAATTTATCTGCACTAGTCGTATTAACGATTGTGTGACTTGTGTGGACCCCAGTGCTCTCCCCCCCCCCCCCAATCCTGGGCGAAACGTTGATGGGGGGTGGGGGGGAGCTGAGAGAGGAAAGAGCGTCACCTGATTATGTGGAGAGTGAAGGGTCTCTGTGATTATGAATGGGAAATCCAGCCATTCATGTCATGGCTGGAGCATAGCCTCATGGCTACAGGAGCAGAGCTGTACTGTGTATTAGAGTGGGCATTTGTGGGGTTCTGTTTGAAGTGGATGTGGGAAATAAAGTTTTGCTGATAGACTTGCTAGTGGCATGTGTGGTAGTGCAATTACCGGTTACACGATTGTTAATACGGTTTCCTCCAACTGACAGCTGTGTAAAGTATAAGGCTACACATTATCTCCCTTTATAACTGAGATAATTAAGTGGACTCTTGACATCCCCTTCAACTCTTAAATAATTCACCCATTTTTGTCCTCCTACTGCAAGAAAAATACAATAAAATAAAATAAAAAAAACATGGAAGGCAATAGCTATATTCAAATAAAATATTTGCAGATAATAAAACATGAAAAATACATGAAAATGATGGGTATAAAAATTTCCATTATGAAACCTCACCTTAATGCTACCAACCAGTTCAGTACTTTGTGTTGTTTTGTGTGAGTCATAAAACCCGACTTGTACATATTAAATCATAGAATCATAGAATGTTACAGCACAGAAGGAGGCCATTTGGCCCATTGAGTCTGTGTGGCTCTTTGACAGAGCAACTGACTTATTAACCCCACTCACCAGCTTTCTCCCCATAACCCTGCAAACCTGTCTTCTCCAGATACCTGTCCAGTTCGCTCTTAAAAGCTGTTATCGAATCGGACTTCACTGCCCTTTCGGGCGGATCATTCCAAATTCTAACAACTCGCTGAGTGAAAACATTTCTTCTAACCTCCCCTCTGCTTCTTTTGGTAGATATCTTAAGACTGTGACCACGAGTCACAGACACACCTACCAGCGGAAACAGCTTTTCCCTATCTCACCTGTCGAAACCTTTCATGATCTTGAAGACCTCTATCAGGTCCCCGCGTAACCTTCTCTGCTCTAATGGGAAAAGTCTTAACTTTCCAGCCTGTCCTCATAGCTAAGGTTCCCCATTCCTGGTATCATTCTCGTGAATCTCCTCTGCACCCTTTCCAGTGCCTTAATATCCTTCCTGAGGTAAGGTGCCCAGAACTGGACGCAGTACTCCAGCTGAGGCCTAACCAGTGTTTTGTATAGATTAACCATAACCCCTACTCTTATACTCTATGCCCCTACTAATGAAGCTCAGTACACCAAATGCCTTTTTTACTGCCTTATCTACCTGTCCCACTACCTTTAATGATTCGCTTACTTGAACACCCAGATCTCTCTGTACGTTCACCCCCTTAAGATTGAGCTCCAAGTCTATATTGCCTCCTATCATTTTTCCTACCTAAGTGTATCACCTCACACTTATCTACATTGAAATCCATCTGCCACATGTCAGCCCATTCCACCATTCTGTGTATGTCTGCCTGCAGTCCGTCACAATCTTCTTCACTATTTACTACCCGACCTAACTTGGTATCATCTGCAAACTTGGAAATAGTGCTCCCTATGCCCAAGTCCAGATCATTAATATATATTAGAAAGAGCAGTGGTCCCAATACCGATCCCTGGGGGACACCGCTGCACACCTCCTTCCATTGCGAGAAACACCCATTAACCACCACCCTCTGCTTCTGTCACTCAGTCAGTTCCTAATCCAAACGGCTACTGTTCCCTTAATACCGTGGGCCGCCAGTTTTTTTATTAACCTCTTATGCGGTACTGTGTCAAAAGCCTTTTTAAGAACCATGTAAATAATGTCCACCGCATTTCCCTCATCAACCCTCGCAGTCACCTCTTCAAAAAATTCTATTAGATTTGTTAGGCAAGATTTGCCTTTAACAAATCCATGTTGGGTCTCTAATTACCTCGTGTTCCTCTAAGTAGAGATTTATTCTGTCCCGGATTACGGTCTCCAGTAGCTTTCCTATTACCGAAGTTAGGCTGACTGGCCTGTAATTTCCGGGTTTGTCTTTCTGCCCCTTTTTGTAGAGTGGGGTAACATTAGCCACTCTCCAGTCTCTTGGCACCACTCCTGTGTCCAATGACGATTGAAATATAATGGCCAAAGCCTCCGCTATTTGAACCCGTATCTCCCACAGCAACCTTGGGTGAAACCCATCTGGTCCTGGTGACTTATCAATTTTGAGCCCAGTCAATCTTTTCAGAACTTCCTCTCTGTCTATAGTAATCTGATCTATGTCCTCTGCCCTCTCATCCAATACTGCGGCATTTGGGGCATCCGTTTCCGTTGTGAAGACAGATGCAAAGTACTCGTTTAGTACATCAGCCATCCCTCTGCCTCCACAACAAGATTGCCGTCATTGTCTTTGATTGACCCCACCCTACCTTTAACTAACCTTTTTCCCTTTATGTGCTTATAAAATATTTTAGGATTCCCCTTTATGTTACCCGCTAACTTCTTCTCATGCGATCTTTTAGTCTGTCTTATCGCTCTTTTAAGATTACTCCTGCATTCTCTATAATGCGCTTTGCTATCCTCAGTGTTTGGTTTAATATAGTCATATTAAATGTTTGGTTCCAACTGAAATGAGATATGTGAAATTTGTTGCAGCTGGTAAGTGTGTATATGGTGATGGGCCAAGACAATGTCTCATGCGATTCAATGCGTCTTAACCCATCGCTGCATAAACACTTACCGGCAAGAGTTGGAATCCCGGGAAATGGACGTTCTTCAGTGCATTCATCGACGGATCAAGACTGCGATTCAATGCAGCCGGTAAGTGCGGGAGTAATGGAGAGTAGGGAAGCGGCACTACGAGTTAGGAGATGATTAATGTGGCTGGTGCAAAGAAATCTAAGTGGTTTTGATAGGAAACTGAGTGGAACTTCGGTGCATGTATAATTTGGGCAATTATATGATTTATAAAGATTAGACTTGTGTGAGTTTTACTATATATCCTAATACAACAACAACAACAAATTACACTTGTATGGCACCCTTCTCATCAGAAAGACGTCCCAGGGCGTGGGACAATCAGGGGGTTTGGTCCTGAGTTAGGGTCAGAAGGGGAGTAGGGCGGGGGTGTGTGTGGGGGTGGGAGGGTGGTCGAAGACACGATCGAAGAGGAAGGTCTTCAGATGGGACTTGAAGGAGGGATTGCGGGATAATAATAATAATAATAATAATAATCCTTGCATTTGATATAGCGCTTTTCACGTCAGAGTTCCAGAGGGTGGGGGTAGAAATGCTGAATGCCCAACCATCAACGGTGGGGCGGGAAATGTGGGGGATCGGAAGCAGGCCTGTGTCCGCCGAGGGGAGGGAGCGGACAGGCTGATATGGGGTTATGAGGTTGGAGAGGTGGGGGGAGCAAGACCATGGAGGGCTTTGAAGGTAAGAACGAGGGCTTTGTACTCGATTCTCTGAGGGATGGGGAGCCAGTGAAGCCGTGCAAGGATGTGGGTGATCGGTTTGCGGAGCCTGGTGTGGGAGAGGACATGAGCTGCAGAGTTCTGAATGAGCTGCAGCTTGTGGAGGGAGAGTTGGGAAGTCCAGTGAGCAGGCAGTTGGCGTAGCCAAGCTGGGACGGAATGAAAGTTTGGATCAGGGTCTCGGCGGCCTGCGGTGACTGGCAGTGGCGGAGGTGGGCAATGCTGCGGAGGTTTGGAAAGGCGGAACGGGTCACGGCACAAATGTGGGGTTTGAAGGATAGCTGAGGTTGAAAGGGACACCAAGGTTTTGGATTGGCTGGTGAGGTGAAGAGTGCAGCCATGAATGGTGATAGTGTCAGCGGCTGAAGTGAGGGGGCGCTGCCAGGAGCCAAGCAGGAGGGCCTCTGATATGATGTATAGTGAATTGAGAAGTCAGTTGTAGCAGGGCATGGCTTTGCAGAAACGATGTGTAAGTAACCTGTTGCTGTGTTTTACAGGGATTACCACCGGAAACAGAACACCCTAAAGGCATTACGCCGCAAAGCGTTAGAGAAAAATCCAGATGAATTCTACTTTCGAATGATCAGCACTAAACTCCAGGTTAGCGTTTTTTTTAAAGAAACTGTACCTTGGATTTCTTCAAGAAAGTTAGCACAAGATGATCAGTTAACGCTCTTATCAGTTAAATTTGCAGGTGTATGGAGAAAGAGCGGGGGAATGGGACTGATTGGGTAGCTCTTTCAAAGCACAGGCACAATGGGCCGAGTGGCCTCCTTCTGTGCTGTAATTCTATGATTGCTTGATTTCCTTCTTACCTCAGGGACTGTATTGCTCCAGCTGGGATCAGAAACCCCATAGAAAGGAGTTCAAACCTGGGACCTCCCCAGGCTCTGGCTAACTAACCGCCTGTGGAGACCTCAGAGTCACACATGTCTATTTTTAATCAAAAAGAATAGATAATATAATAATCCTTTCATTTTATATAGCTCTTTTCACATCTTCTCAACGTCTGAAAGCGCTTCACAGAATATGCTGTAAAGTGAATTGACTGTATATTTGTGGGCAAAACGCAGCAGCCAATCGTGCACAGCAATGTCCCACAAACAGTCGTGGATTGAAAATGACCAATTTATTATTGTTTTGGAGGGATTATTATTAGACGTGTGGAGTCAGGAAACTTGCCCAAAGTTAGATCAGGAAATGCAGTAAGTAATCCTATCAGAATGTGGCATTTTTATTTAGAGACCTGATGATTTCTGGTGTGTGTTTGTTTTTAGGATGGATTACATGTGTGTCTGTGTGGAGGATGCAATACATGTGTGTTTAGGATGGAGTACGTGTGTTCAGGATGAATTACAAGTCTATATGTGTTTAGGATGTACTTGTGTGTTTGTGTTTAGAGTGGAGAGTACATTTGTGTTTAGGATGGAGTATGTGTGTGTGTTTTTGGGAGGGAGTACGTGTGTGTGTTTTTGGGATGGAGTACGCGTGTGCGTGTGTTTGGGATGGAGTACGTGTGTGCGTGTGTTTGGGATGGAGTACGTGTGGGCGTGTGTTTGGGATGGAGTACGTGTGTGTTTAGGATGGAGTATTTGTGTGTGTTTAGGATCGCTTACATGTGTATGTGTGTTTAGGATGGAGTACATTTATGTTTAGAATGGAGTACATGTGTGTGTGTGCTTAGTGCGGAGTACATGCGTGTTTGTGTTTAGGGTGGAGTACTGCGTGTTTGTGTTTAGGGCGTGTCTTTAGGATGGAGTACATATGCGTGTGTTTAGGATGGAGTGCGTGTGCGTGTGTTCAGGATGGAGTGCGTTTACGTGTGTTTAGGATGGAGTACGTGTGCGTGCGTTTAGGATGGAGTACGTGTGTGTGTTTAGAATGGAGAACATTTGTCTTTAGGATGGAGTACATTTGTGTTTAGAATGGAGTACATGTGTGTGTGTTTAGGATAGAGTATGTGTGTGTTTTGGATGGATTACATGTGTGTTTGTGTGTTGAGGATGGAGTATGTGTGTGTGTTTAGGATGGAGTATGTGTGTTTGTGTACGTGTGTTTAGGATGGAGTACGTGTGTGTGTGTTTAGTATGGAGTACGTGTGCGTGAGTTTAGGATGGAGTACGTGTGTGTGTGTTTAGAATGGAGTACATTTGTGTTTAGGATGGAGTACATGTGTGTTTGTGTTTAGGATGGAGTACATGTGTGTGTGTTTAGGATAGAGTACGTGTGTGTTTTGGATGGATTACATGTGTGTTTGTGTGTTTAGGGTGGAGTATGTGTGTGTGTTTTTAGGATGGAGTGCGTGTGTTCAGGATGGAGTGCGTGTGCGTGTGTTCAGGATGGAGTGCGTGTGATTAGGATGGAGTGCGTGTGCGTGTGTTTAGGATGGAGTACTCGTGCGTGTGTTTAGGATGGAGTTTGTGTGCGTGTGTTTAGGACGGAGTACGTGTGCGTGAGTTTAGGATGGAGTACGTGTGTGTGTGTTTAGGATAGAGTACGTGTGTGTTTTGGATGGACTACGTGTGTGTGTGTGTTTAGGATGGAGTGCGTGTGCGTGTTTTTGGGATGGACTACGTGTGTATTGAGGATGGACTGTGTGTGTGTTTAGGATGGAGTATTTGTGTGTGTTTAGGATCGCTTACATGTGTATGTGTGTTTAGGATGGAGTACATTTGTGTTTAGAATGGAGTAAGTGCGTGTTTGTGTTTAGGGCGGAGTACATGCGTGTTTGTGTTTAGGGCGGAGTACGTGTGTGTTTGTGTATAAGGGGTGTCTTTAGGATGGAGTACGTGTGCTTGTGTTTTAGGATGGAGTGCGTGTGTGTGTGTTTAGGATGGAGTGCTTGTGTTTAGGATCGTGTGCATGTGATTAGGATAGAGTGCGTCTGTGTGTGTGTATAGGATGGACTGCACCTGTGCGTGTGTTTAGGATGGAGTTCATGTGCGTGTGTTTAGGATGGGGTACGTGTGCGTGTGTTTAGGATGGAGTACGCGTGTGTGTGTTTAGGATGGAGTACGCGTGCGTGTGTTTAGGATGGAGTACGTGTGCGTGTGTTTAGGATGGAGTACGTGTGCGTGTGTTTAGGATGGAGTACGTGTGCGTGTGTTTAGGATGGAATACGTGTGCGTATGTTTAGGATGGAGTATGTGTGTGTGTGTGTTTAGAATGGAGTACATTTGTGTTTAGAATGGAGTACATGTGCGTGTGTTCAGGATGGAGTGCGTGTACGTGTGTTCAGGATGGAGTGGATGTGTTTTGGATCGTGTGCGTGTGATTAGGATGGAATGCGCCTGTGCGTGTGTTTAGGATGGAGTACACGTGCGTGTGTTTAGGATGGAGTTCGTGTGCGTGTTTTTGGGATGGAGTACGCGTGTGCGTGTGTTTAGGATGGAGTGCGTGTGCGTGTGTTTAGGATGGAGTACATGTGTGTGTGTTTAGGATAGAGTTCGTGTGCCTGTGTTTTGGATGGAATTCGTGTGCGTGAGTTTAGGATGGAGTACGTGTGTGTGTGTGTGTTTGGGATGGAGTATGTGTGCGTGTGTTTGGGATGGAGTACGTATGCGTGTGTTTGGGATGGAGTACATGTGCGTGTGTTTAGGATGGAGTTCGTGTGCCTGTGTTTAGGATGGAATTCGTGTGCGTGAGTTTAGGATAGAGTACGTGTGTGTGTGTGTTTTGAATGGAGTACATTTGTGTTTAGGATGGAGTACATGTGTGTGTGTTTAGGATAGAGTACGTGTGTGTTTTGGATGGATTACACGTGTGTTTGTGTGTTTAGGATGGAGTGTGTGTGTTTAGGATGGAGTACACGTGTGTGTTTAGGATGGAGTACATGTGTGCTTGTGTTCAGGATGGAGTGCACCTGTGCGTGTGTTTAGGATGGAGTTTGTGTGCCTGTGTTTAGGATGGAATACGTGTGCGTGAGTTTAGGATGGAGTACGTGTGTGTGTGTGTGTTTGGGATGGAGTATGTGTGCGTGTGTTTGGGATGGAGTACGTATGCGTGTGTTTGGGATGGAGTACATGTGCGTGTGTTTAGGATGGAGTACATTTGTGTTTAGAATGGAGTACATGTGCGTGTGTTCAGGATGGAGTGCGTGTACGTGTGTTCAGGATGGAGTGGATGTGTTTTGGATCGTGTGCGTGTGATTAGGATGGAATGCGCCTGTGCGTGTGTTTAGGATGGAGTACACGTGCGTGTGTTTAGGATGGAGTTCGTGTGCGTGTTTTTGGGATGGGGTACGTGTGCGTGTGTTTGGGATGGAGTTGCGTGTGTGTTTAGGATGGAGTACATGTGTGTGTGTTTAGGATGGAGTATTTGTGTGTGTTTAGGATCGCTTACATGTGTGTGTGTGTTTAGGACGGAGCACATGCGTGTTTGTGTTTAGGACGAAGTACGTGCGTGTTTGTGTTTAGGGCGGAGTACGTGCGTGTTTATGTTTAGGGCGGAGTACGTGCGTGTCTCGGGCGGAGTACGTGCGTGTCTCGGGCGGAGTACGTGCGTGTCTCGGGCGGAGAACGTGCCTGTTTGTGTTTAGGGTGGAGTTCATGTGTGTTTGTGTTTAGGATGGAGTACATGTCATCAAGCAGCTGGAGGAGGAGGTCACGGAGGAGCAGCTGAAAATCATAAGAACACAAGATGTTAAATATGTGGGAATGAAGCGAATTGCAGAGGCAAAGGTGGGTTTTGCTCTTATTTGACTTGATCCCTTACCATTTGTTTTCCAATATCTCCACCACATCCCTCTCACCGTGTTCCCAAAACAAGTGTCTGAAAAGTCACTATTTGGCTGTGACTCTGTCATACTTCCTATTCTGGAATTGATGTCCAAGTTCCATATGAGTGAAGCACATTGATGCTCACAGCTGCACTCACATCTACAGCTTGCCAGGGAGTTGTGGTTCCAAATGTTGGGAGTAATTCCTTGTGGGCATGGAGATAGCCTACAGATTCTCGCAAATTCTGAATTTCAGACACTGCTCTGCTGTGTGGTCCTCTTCACCAAACCACGATTTAGCAGTTTAGGATACCAGCTGGTGGTTTGGGGGGGTGGGGAGTGGTGCTGTTTTCACACACATCACAACTCCATAACTCACTTGATGCCATCAGATGTATCAGTTTCTAGGCAGGTCAGCCAAATCCAGTTGCACAAGAGCTGATACAACGTGGAACTGTATTTTGTGGGCGAAACGCAGCAGCCACTTCACAACCCACAGACCCATGGAGTTGGTGACCAATTTTATTTGGGGGATCGTTGGCCCGGACACTGGGCGAACCTCACTTAACTTTTTGAATAGTGCCATGGGATCTTTAACCTGAACCTCTGACAATGCAACATCCCCTGGTACTGCATCGTGGTGTCAGCTTAGACTGTGATTCCAAGTCCCAACACGGGGCTTGAACTCAATACTGGAGGAGAGACTGCAACCACACAGCCAACCTGACACACTGTCACGGGTTTTGTGTGAATGTTGCTTTGATTGTGATTGAAAAGAAACGTGCCCCTGGCTGGAATACAATTAAGAGCAAGAAAAGACCATTACTCCAGTCATCAACGAGTGGAGTTAGCTGATCTCAGATGGGGCAGAATTTGGGTTCCTACAATTGAACTCTGCATCCTTGGGTTTAGAAAAGCGGGGGAAAAATATTTCTGTGGAAGTTAGTCAGATAGAATTGGCCAGGTTATGATGCCTCCAGGATGGTTGGACAGCCTGTACCTGTGAAGAATGTTGAGGCCCCACTGAATGGTGTTGATGCCTTCAGAAAAGTAGAAAAGTAAAGAGCAAAGTACTGTTACTATGCTGCATGTTTGCTGGGAGTGCAGCAGACTAATGCTCTGTAGTGATTATTGGTGCGTTGCTTATATTGAGACTTAGGAGGAGATTAGAGTGCCATTAGATGCAGAATTTGCTGTTCATAATAGCTAACCTCCTGCCTCATTCTCCGGTTTGCACAATAATAATAATAATAATAATCCTTGCATTTGATATAGCGCTCTTCACGTCGGGAGGACGTCCCAAAGCGCTTCACAGAACACACTGTAAAGTGAATTGACTGTATATTTGTGGGTGAACGCGGCGGCCGATTGCGCACAACAATGTCCCACATAGATTGAAAATGACCAATTTATTATTGTTTTTGGTTTTGGAGGGATTATTATTAGGCTCTGTGTGGAGTAAGGAAACTTGCCCAAGGTTTCGCCCTGACCCCCCCGGGGATTGAACTCAGGTCTCTCACTTGCAACGCGAGTGCTCTAACCACTGAGCTACAGGACTATTTGGAAAATGTGGGTATGTAATGGTAATGATATCCACCAGGTGGCACAAAGTGTCCATTTTTCCTGATGTTTCATTGATTTTATAAAGAGAAGCTACATTTTGCAGCAATTAAATCAACAAGCAAGTCCGTGCAAATATTCTCGTCAGATTAGCAAAGCCATGTGGTTCAATATGGAGTCCTGTAGCTCAGTGGTTAGAGCACTCGCTTTGCAAGTGAGAGACCTGAGTTCAATTCCAGGCAGAGGGCGAAACCTCGGGCAAGTTTCCTTACTCCACACAGAGCCTAATAATAATCCCTCCAAAACCCAAAACAATAATAAATTGGTCATTTTCAATCTACGACTGTTTGTGGGACATTACTGTGCGCAATTGGCTGCCGCGTTCGCCCACAAATATACAGTCAATTCACTTTACAGTGTGTTCTGTGAAGCGCTTTGCGACGTCCTCCCGACGTGAAAAGCGCTATATCAAATGCAAGGATTATTATTAAGAAGTATTATTAAAATCTCCCTGTACTCACAGGTCTTCTTAGTAAATCTGGGTCTGTGATTGATTTCAACAGTGATTTTGCTCATATCATCGCCGAGGGCCCTGGCTGCACAGGGGGAACTGTTGGCCAGGACACTTTTAAACCTCACATTCATGCTCTGACCTGCTCAGCTTTCCACCATCTCTGTTACATTGATTGCCACCTCCACCTCTATCTCTTCCCTCAGGGTCACCGAGACACTAATCCAAGCATTTATCACATCCAGGCTATGCCAACTCTCTGCTTGCAATTCTACTTGCCTCTTCCCTTCACAAGCTGCCAACTATCCAGAGCTCTGCAGTTCATGTCCATTTCCTCACTAGGCTTGCTGAGTCTATTTCCCCACTGGCTCCCCAGCTCCCAGTGGATGGAGACCAGGTTCCTCGTTCCTAACCTTTAAATCCCTCTGTGGTCTTGTCCCATCCTATCTCTACGACCTACTCAAACTCTACAAACCCATTTGTTCCCTTCACTCAGCAGGCACCTGTCTATTCCACGTTTCCCCACCCTACCTGGCCCACTGTTGGCGGTCGTGCTTTCAGCCCATCTGCGCGTTCTCTGGAACTTCATCCCAGAGTCCCTTCCGCTCGCTATATAAATGTAAATTTGTATTGTGTCTATAAGCCAGCATTTCCCAGTATCGCATTTGCCGCTGCTGGTTCAGTCCCGCTCGGCTAAATTGTGTACTTGGTAACCTCACCCACAGGCACAGCTAAAACATTCTGGCTGATATTGCTGTGGTTGGTCAGTGTGTGACTGTGGGCATTACCATGAGACATTAGATTGTCACATATAGAGCTTGTGGATTGACATGTTTTCCTCGTGGCCTTGTTTCGCCCACAATATACAGTCACTTTACAGTATATTCTGTGAAGAGCTTTGAGATATAATAATAATCCTTGCATTTGATATAGCGCTTTTTACATCTTCTCGATGTCTCAAAGTGCTTCACAGAATATGTGAATTGACTGTATATTTGTGGGCGAACGCGGCAGCCAATTGCGCACAGCAATGTCCCACAAACAGTCGTGGATTGAAAATGACCAATTTATTATTGTTTTGTTTTGGAGGGATTATTATTAGGCTCTGTGTGGAGTAAGGAAACTTGCCCAAGGTTTCGCCCTGTCTGGATGTCTTAAAGGAGCTATATCTGATGCAAGCATTATTATTATCTCCTGGGAAGGTGAATGGCAGCAAAGAGCTGGATGATCTGATGAATCTTCCAATTTTTTTTTACAGAAAATTGAACAACTTAAGTCTGAACTACATCTCCTAGAGGCAGATGGAAAACAACCCAACAAACACACCTTCTTCTGTGAATCTAAAAAGGAAGGTAATAGAAAATCTGCACATTCTGTGGTCTGCGCTTCATTTGTAGTGTTTTATTTTGACTGGTAGTGTTTACAAAATTGGAGACTATTAGTAAGATTTTACAAGTTGGCATAAACCAGGAGAGGTCCAACTTTTTGGTTGCTGAGGGCCAGATTCCCTATTTGAGAAATATCCGTGTTTCCCTTCCAGAAACATAACCACATTTATACCGCACCTTTTTCACGTCAGAAGGATGTCTCAGCCGTGTGTCTCACCCTCTGGCAGTGGCAGGAGCTGGTGGTTGGGTCTACGTGGTTGGTCAGGAGACCCGCAATTACTTTCACTCAGCCTGGCACACTGCAGCAACGGCTGGCATTATTTACACTTCCCATACTGCGTCCTCCTAAACGCCAGCTCCTGCCACTGCCATGAGAGGAGGTTTTGCTGGGGCGAGAGGGAGGGAGTGGGCAGCCTGAAGTTGGAAATGGTCTTGGCTGGATGTGGCTCGCAGGACGCCAGTTGGACCACGTTAGTATAAGAGGCCGAAGTCACTGGGAACACTCAGCAGGTCAGGCAGCAGCTATGGAGAGAGGAAAGTGAGTTAACATTTCAGGCCAATGACCAAAGGTCATAATTTTGTTTCAGATTTCCAGCATCTACAGTATTTTGCCCTTTTCTGGTATAAAAGGCAAGTGGCGCCTGTAAAAGCCCATATTGCTCTAGGTTGGTTCCATCTTGTTTCCTGTGACCGCACTTGTATACAGCTGGACTTTCTTGAATTAACATTTCAACAACATTGATCAATGATAATCATCCTTACAATCGATATTGAGCTTCATTGTATTCTTAAAATGTCTCAAAGCGCTTCACAGGATTTACTGCAAAATGTAGTGATGGTTCACTTCACAGCCACCCCTCCCATAGTGTTGAGGCCAATTATGGTGGCTCAGCAAAGACAAGTTGAACTTGCTAACCTACAAGAAGGTTGCTTTAAGCATAAAGTCTTCAGAGGACCTTACCAAGTCCCTTCATAAGTTAGGTTTTGAGCAAAGGCTGTAATAATGAATCTCTTGTCTGCTGCTCAGAACAAATTGGTTTCAACGTTCCTAACCCAGTTACCAGTCGACCACCGTAAAGCAAACGGTGTCACCCACTGACAGATGTCACTCAGGCACCACAAAAAGAAACTTGGTGGATTGCTGTTGTTGCAGAGGGTTACATCTGGGACTGATCACATGTTAGGTAGCAATAGGGGAGGGGGAGAGGTTTGCTATGGTATGTGGAAAAAGGAAGGAATATGGCACCTGGTCTGTAATTTTTTAAGTTTTGTGTTGTATCGCTGGTGATTTATAGAATGCTTATTAAATATAGCATAATTTATGTTCATTCACACCGCAGACTGCATTGCTCATAGCTGTAACCATGTTTTCATTTGGAGATCTTCAAGTTTCTACAGGAATTGAAATTTCTTGAAATACTACTATTAATTTAGAGTTAATGCCTGGGTGATTTATTGGAATCTTGGATTGCCTTATTAAATAAAAACTAGTGCATGCATGTCATGCAAGTTATGGCTTTCTCACTTGCATGAAAAACGCTGATGCACCATGCTATTCCAGTGGTAATTGTTTTATGGTGGTTTGGTGTACAATGGACAGATTGTTATTTGTTTCCACCAATTGATAGCATTACTAAGTTGTAATCATGATGCTGATTTTGAGAATTGTATTTCTGTGGATTGCTAGGATATGCAGTTGACGAAGTAGCTTGTGCATCTCACAGTAGTGAGTCCTGTTAGCAAAATGGAATATAGTTTTTCCCCCTTAATTTTCTTGCCCTTCCTTCTCTCTTCTGAATGTGTGTGACCCTCACATCTGTGCCATGACCCGCTCAACCTTCGCAACATCGCCCGGCTTCGCCACTGCCTCTGTCCTCAGACCCACAAAACCCTCATTTATTACATCTAAGCTTGGCTACTCCAATGCCTTGCTTGTCGGCCTTCCCAACTCTTTTCTCCAGAATTTGCAGATCATCCAGAACTCTGCAGCTCATGTCCTCTTCCACACCAGATGCCATGACTCTATCACCCTCAACCGGCTCCACTGGCTCCCCATCCCCTAGAGGATACAGTTCAAAATCCTCAGACTCACCTTCAAGGTCCTCTCCATGGCTTTACCCCCGCCTACCTCTGTGACATGCTAATGCCATATCAACCTGTTTGTTCCCTCCGTTCAGTAGGCTCCGGCTTGCTTAACATCCCCGACCCAGCCCGCCCACCATTGGCGGTCTGGCCTTCAGCCTCTCTGTCCCCACCCTTTGGCACTCCATCCCACAGTCCTTTGCCTTGCTCCTCCCTTGCCTCCTTCAAGATCTTCCTCTTCAACCACCCTCCTACCTACCCTACCCACCCTGCCCTCCAGCCCTCCTGATCCCAACCCCCTGCTGGGGTCCAGATCCCTGACTGTCCAAGCGCTTTGGGACATCTTCCCTACACAAATGTAATTTGTTGTTGTTGTTGACTATTCCATATCACTGGCTGCTATCTGGTATCTTGCCCCAAGTGTCATTATTTTATACGTGGCCCACACAGTGCGTGTGCCAAGTTATTTCATCATGAAAAGAGAAACTTCACAGCCAATGATCCAGTTCTCATTCTGGTTCCACACAAACCAGTGTCAGGCAGACAGCTCTATGTTCCCAGCCCCGGCCATTTTACCACCACAAATGCTGCTTTAACTCATATTTCCTAATTTGCCATCTCTGTTTCCTATGAAGGAAACAAGAATATGTTTCCTATCGTTGACTAACTTTATCGCTGTATTAATACTGTGCACTTCAACATTTTGACAAGCCTCGTAGGCGGCATCTTATCCTCTTGCGTTGTCTATCACAATAATCGGTTATCTAAACACAAAGATCCTGCTCCATTGCCTCCTGTGGTCAAATCGCCTACTCACGTGCACTGTGAATGCACATGTGCACTGTGAAGGATTAACACTTGGGTCAGGGAAGAAATTTCATGAAAATGGTCCGGAAAAATTATACTCCGTTTATTTTCTACTAGCTGTACCCGTTGCAGCTATGCTTGCAACCAAAGGAACCAATATGGAATGTAGATTGACACACAGATAGACACACAGACAGACATTTCATCTTTATCTATAATCATCTGGGAGGACTTAATGGGAGGACTCGGCGCTTTAAAAATGTAATTTTGTTGTTGTTGCCGTGGCTTAGCTTTGTCTGTGTTCTTTATTTTGTTCCCGCAACTTGGCTACGTGTGTGTTCTGTGACGCAAGGCCTCCAGGTGTAACTACAGTGTGTGCGAACATACCTAGGTGCTCTGTGATGCACGATGCCACAGCGTCACTTTGACTTGGCAGGTGACCAGGTGTAACTGCAGCGAAAAACCCAAAACTGATATAACTTATAAACGATAGGAGATAACTGAAAACAAATATGCCCATGTCACTCCCAAATCAAGACCTTTCTGATGAGGTATAAATCATGTCTCTACATCAATCGGTTATTGAGATGCTACTTGAAGAGCAGACAGACATTGTTGTTTTATTAGTATATTGAAGAAGATATATAGATAGAAGAGGATGCTGCAGTTTTCCTGTTTATACTTTTGGCTTGGCTATTTGGCACAAGCTGCTTACTTGGAATCTCTGTCTGTATCTGTATGGCTGACATGCTGTGCTACCTTATTGCACCAATTTCACAGTAATTAAAAAACAATTGTTTCATTTGAGTTGTTGAACCGTTCAGTAATGTTTGTTGCAGTGGAACAGTTTGACTTGGCCAAGCGTCTGAACACTCTTCCAGAGCTGGTGAACCGAGTGTACAACCGACCAACAGTGGAAACCTTGCAGAAGGAGAAGGTGAAAGGAGTCATTGATCATGAGGCTCAAGAGGTAATGCGGAATTATACGATTGGTTTCCTTGTTCATTGCAAAATTGTCATCCAGACACCCTGAGCATCAACAACAAGATTGCATTTATAGAGCACCTTTCACGTCGGGAGGACATCCCAAGGCACTGGACAGTTGGGTCGGGACCCGAGCAGCGGGGGAATGGTCAGGGTGAGGGGAGGGAAGGGAGGGAGCGAGGATGGGGTAGAGAGTCGAGAGGGGAGCTGAAGGCACGGTTGAAGAGGAAGGTCTTGAGACCGGCCTTGAAGGAGGAAAGGGAGGAAGCAAAGTGAAAGCACCGGGGGATGGAGTTCCAGAGCCTCGGGGCTGAGAGGCTGAAGGCCACCGATGGTAGGGCGGTTGGGGCGGGGGATGTGGAGCAGACCGGAGCCGGAGGAACGGAGGGTACAGGCAGGTAAGTAGGGGGATAGTAGGTCGGAGAGGTAGGAGGGAGCGAGGCCGTGAATGGCCTTGTAGGTGAGGATGAGGATCTTGAATTTGATCCTCTGGGGGGATGGGGAGCCAGTGGAGACGAACGAGGGTGAGGGCGAGGGTGGGAGTGATGTGGTCGTGAAGCCTGGTGTGGGACAGTACACGAGCTGCAGAGTTCTGAATGACCTGCAGCTTGTGGCGGGAGGTGACGGGAAGGCCGACGAGGAGAGAGTTCCCGTAGTCCAGCCTCTGAGGATGACCATCTGCATGTCAACATGATGCCTGATCGGATTTTCATTGAATTGTGAGAACTTACTTAGGGCCGTTGTGCTCGCTGTGAAACTCACTACAGTGATGTCCCACAGAGGTAGTGTCACACAGAGCACCTGTGCTGCCTGAGGTGTGAAGAGCAGTATTGCAACATGACCAATTGCTAGTGGTAATTCATCCCCAGGAACTGGTATGTACGTAGTAAAGTAGAAAATGCAACATATTTTTAACACTGGTGTTCTGCTAAAGGATTGTTGTATTTGTATGTCAGCAAATGTTTCTGTGTGAATGTAAGGACATCTAGATCAATCTTGTGTTATTTACTGGATCAAAACTCTTCCTTTCACTACACAAATGAATTGTGTATGGAAAAGGGTCTTCATTCCACATTCATTTGCCTTTGCAGAGACTAGCCAAACAGAGGGAGCAGCAGTACTCCTTACTGAACCAGCGGATTGAACGAGAGAAGAAGATGTTTGTAGTGGAGCAGAAAATACAGACTCGGAAAGATCTCATGGTGAGTTTAAAATGTTCTCTCCTTTTGCACCAGTTTTGTATATTTTCTTAATTAAAGCTGACATTAACCACCAGAACATTTTAAATGTTATCAACATAAGAGCGCTGGTCTAAGCTGTGGGCAGAGCGCTGGTCTGAGCTGTGGGCAGAGCGCTGGTCTGAGCTGTGGGCAGAGCGCTGGTCTGAGCTGTGGGCAGAGCGCTGGTCTGAGCTGTGGGCAGAGCGCTGGTCTGAGCTGTGGGCAGAGCGCTGGTCTGAGCTGTGGGCAGAGCGCTGGTCTGAGCTGTGGGCAGAGCGCTGGTCTGAGCTGTGGGCAGAGCGCTGGGCAGAGCTGTGGGCAGATGTAGGTACCAGCAGGTGTAAGCGTCATCTGTTTCCTGTGGAGAAGTTCAAATGTACAATAGGAATTTATTTTGAAAAAAATTGAGTCAGTTTTTTCTTTGAGTTAACAAAACTCTCCGTTTGTTTGGTGGAAAGGGACCACGGTGAAATCTGAGCGAAGGGAAATGAGGCTTTAGAACCTGAGCTGGTAGCGATGTCCAGTGCTCTACCATAAATACATTTAACCTTCTCCCTGGTTAGTACAAACACAGTAAAAGTGTGTGTGTGTGTGGGGGGGGAATGCGACACCATAGCTTCTGCCAAAAGAACATTTTCCTCAAACAACAACTACTTGGATTTATATAGTACCCCCCACGCCAGACGGCGTCTCAGAGCACTTTACACGAATGGATCCCGGGACCAAGCCAGGGGGAGGGGTCAGGGGGAGGGGTTAGGGTCAGGGGGAGGGGGAGGGGCCCGGGGGAGGGGGGGCAGGGGGAGGGGTTAGGGGGAGGGGGGCCAGGGGGAGGGGTCAGGGCGAGGGGGGCCAGGGGGAGCGGGCCAGGGGGGTCAGGGCGAGGGGAGGGAAGGTGACCAAAGGCGCGGTCGAAAAGAAAGGTCTTCAGCAGAGACTGAAAACACTGCTTTCCTTTGTGTTCTGAAGGGTTTGTATGGTTTTTATTTTTCAAATAATGTGGAAAGTGGCTGAAGATGGATGAGTAGATGATTCTTTAATTTAAGCTGAGTCAGAATTGGTTGTAATCAACTTGAATGAAATGGGATCAGACTGATGTGAGGTTCCTGCGAGTGATTACAATATAATCGTCTGTGATGAGGAATCGGATTCTTGGCAGGATCCAAATGACGAGCATTGGTTCCAGAATTGACATATCAAAGCATTTTAGAGCCAGTCATCCACTAATAATAATAATAATACTTGCATTTGATATCGCGCTTTTCACGTCGGGAGGACGTCCCAAAGCGCTTCACAGAACACACTGTAAAGTGAATTGACTGTATATTTGTGGGCGAACGCGGCAGCCAATTGCGCACAGCAATGTCCCACAAACAGTCGTAGATTGAAAATGACCAATTTATTATTGTTTTTGGTTTTTGGAGGGATTATTATTAGGCCAAGCTACCAAGTATTTCCTGGTGGGCATTCTGCCTGTTCACCACAGCGATTGCCAGTCTGCTCAGGGATGTATATCAGCACTCTCTCTGTAGCTCCGAGGTCAGTCAGCAGCAGATTTAGTTAGTGTCACAGTAGGCTCTGTGGGCTGTGAGAGTAAGTGTAAATGGCCAGAATGAGACAGAATGCACCAGCAGTAACCTTCTTTTCAGTATTAATAATATAAGCAAGTATCAGTGGGGCATAGAATCCAGTCGTGGACAGTAGGACAATCTGTTATCCATTGGTTACTTTGAGATCTACTTTTAAGTGGCACTCAGGTTGTTTTTGAGGCTAATTGCTACAGTGAACAGGAAACGTGCCTTGCTGTAGCTGAGCTGGATAGCTTGTTATTGACACAAGGTGCTAGAGTGATATAGTATTCCACTGCCCAGCATTGATCAAAGAAAAATTGAGGGAGGAAGAAAGGAAGGTCCTCTTGTACCAGGTCTCTGAAGCTTCTACAACAAAAAATAAAGGACAATTCTGCCTCGGATTTCTCGAATCTGATTCATTCACTTGATGTGCATTATGCCTATGGGTTGTTGCAAGCTTCTGTGTTGCTCTCTTGACAAGAATGCCGGTGTGTTCACAGGACAAGACCTACAAGGTGAAGGTGAAAAACGAAACCAAGAACTCGCCGGCCATTTACAAATTTAAATTTCGAAGAACACGCTGATCCAATTTCAACATTTATTATCTTGGAAGATTGTCTCTGAAGATGAATTTGTCTACTTAAGACATGTATGATGCTGCACTATATTGATTGTATGTGAAACGTCAATAGAACATTAAACAAATCAAAAGATAAACTGTTTTGGAATGATGTACGTTTTTGGATTACTGTTTTTCAGATCATAGGAAACTAAAACAGTAAAAGTTTGCGCTGAATTTATTTACTTTCATTTAGAAATGTATTTTTAGTCTGAAGTACACTTAGAGTATGAACAGTCTAATCTATTCAACAAAGATGAAACATTTAACCAACTTCCTTCTGCCTGTACAGGTGGATGACAATAATAATAATAATCCTTGCATTTGATATAGTGCCTTATCACGTCTTCAAGACGTCTCAAAGCGCTTCACAGAATATACTGTAAAATGAATTGACTGTATTTTGTGGGTGAAACTTGGCAACCAATGGCGTACAGCAGCGTCCCACAAACAGTTCGGATTGAGTGACCAATTATTTATTATTCTCTCGCATCCGGGTCAACAATCCCCCAAATACAACTGTCCATTCATTTCATGGCTGTTTGTGGAGCATAGCTGTGCGCAAAATAGTCTGCTTGGTCGTCTGCAAAATACAGTCACTACACTACTGTATATCCTGTGAAACATTTTGGGATATCCTCCTGATGTGAATAGCCAGAAGTACTGTAATGATAGCAAGATAACATTTAAAAAAAATACATTTTGCAAGATGTAATAATTAGTTGCTGTGTATAAATGTTCTAACCTTTACACTGTTAGTTTATGCAGCGGCGCTGAAAATGCCCTGCCAGTGATCAAGCTACTCAAACGCCTCTTACTTTACCTCCATTTCTACAGACACTTAAGTCCTAAAGCTCTCACTATCCAGTTTGTAAGGTTGGTAGTAGCCAAAGTTCATCTCATTGACTCAACTATCCTGACAGTGTTACAGCCAATGGAAAGTTGAAGAGGACGGGTTATGAATGTGACTGTCCATAACTGATGTGATTTTCTCTCAGTGCGAAGGCAGATGTGCAGGCTTTGGTGGTCCTAATAGTCATGCCATCCCTATTCCTACACACGGTGACAGGGCTCAAGGGATTAAAGTGATCTCACTCCCTTTTTAAAGGTATTATTTTGAGCAAAGCCACATTGAGCCTCTTTAAATTTACTGCTAAAATCTACTTTTGGCAATTGGAGGTGTGTGTGTCCTCGTGTGTCATTCAGAAATGAAGCTGCCACCGATTCTCAGCCACTGATTAGCTGCTGCTTGCTGACCCTCACAGCACGGAAATGCTCCTCACATTCATCATGATGTGTAATATGTTTATACAGAGAGTCAGGTGCTGCTCTAACTGAAAAGACTGACTATGCTTTTGCACGTTGATATGCAATCTTGAACTTTGCTGTGAAGTGCACGGATCTTCAACTCAACTGACCCAGCTGCTCCCTGCCCTCATTGCAGGGAGAATTGGCCTGCTTCCTTCACGCCCCTCGCCCTATCAATCCCACTGAGTGGGAAGGCTTTCAGCCATTCTGTCCTCATTCTCTAGAATCCCATCCCAGAGTCTCTGCATCACTCACTTCATCCCCTCTTTCAGTCATCGTTCCCCTCTCCCACCCTCTCGGCTCCCACTCCCAGCTCGGGTGCACTTTAGGACATCTTCCTGATGTGAAAGGAGTGATATAAATGTAAATTGTATTAGTGTGTAACCAGCACACTATGCTTGTGGACGCCACAAGATTCTTTTCTGGCTCTCGTACAAGTCTTGTCATCCACATTCTAAATGGATTTGATTACCGAAACTGTAACCCCAGTGCACTTTACCAAAGAAACATTGATTTATTATTGCCCATCACCGGGGAACAGCGCAAGTCTTCATTAGAGCTGAAGGAGGATCTGTTTTGTCTGCCTCATCAGCATCACTGAACCTCATCCCCGGGAGGCTTGATACAAATTAATTAACCTAATTAAAAGCACTGATTGCAGAGATGATTGGTGTGGTGCTGCCGGCGGTTGTATATGCACTGTATGGGGGGGTAACTGTTGAGCCAATGCCACACAAATGAGCAAAAGTCATTGAAGTGCATTTTATTTTACATCAATATCATTGTAAATATGTTTAATATCCTCATTGACTGAATATGTTCTTTTTAACACTACTGAGCATTCTGCAAACCTTTGTGTCTGTATCAAACTATTCTGTATTTTCTCAATTTCCCCCCAAAATCAAATGCTCCTAAAGGCATCAAACTTTGTGATTACTTTTAACTAATGTTTTAGCCAAGAATGGAGAGCTGGCATGGGCGCAGATTCCCCCCCGCCCCCCCTCTGCTCCTCCTCCTCCTCCGACCCCTCTGATGGTTGAATAGCTGTCAATCATTGTGAAGGTTCATATTTGCATGATAGCCAAGGGTGGAACGATATCCACTAAAAGGAACACTTCAGCAGGATAGGGAACAAAAAAAAAAGCCAGTGACTCCTGTGAACCTGAGCGTTAGACCAGGACTGTGTCTTAGGTTTGATCCTAAACCTGAGCTGCTCTTGGCCAGGGTGGCAGCAGCAGAGAAACTAGAGAACTGGCAGCACAGAAGGTTCAGCTGTGCCCATCGTGCCGCTTGCTGGCTCAGAGAGAGATCGCCATTTGCTTCCAGCAGTAGATATGTCACAATTGGCCCCAGTGCCACCGTGTTCGGCAGCAGTAGGAGCTGATCAGCATACCCTGATCCTCTGTTGGCAATGAATCTTGTGTGAAACCTCAGCTGAGGACAAGATCAGGCTCTCACTGCCATTAAATCACCCAACAATGTTACTGTCCAGTCATACATGAAACACAGCCATTTGGGTGAGGCAATGCCCAGGGAAGTGCCCACAGCAGCACAAGCAGAGAGAAACACACACAACACACAATCACACACACAACCACATATACACACACATACATACACAATCACATACAATCACACACACAGGGCAAAACACATTCCTGATCATTAATAATAATAATAATCCTTGTATTTACATATAGCGCCTTATCACGTTCTTGAGATGTCTCAAAGTATTTCACAGGATATACTGTAAACTATATTGACTATATTTTGTGGGAGAAATGCGGCAGCCAATTGTGGGCAGCAGCATCTCACAAACAGTCGTGGATTGAGTGACCAAACTATTATTGTTTTTAAAATGTATTTTTGTTTTGAAGTGATTATTATTTCTGGAAAAGTGTTCCGCCAATTGACTAACAACCGCTTTCCTACTTACTGATAGGTAAATAGAGGTGTGTAGAGTAAGGAAACTTGCCCAACATTTTGCCGTGCCTGCCCAGGGAATCAAACCCAGTTCCTCTCACCTGCGAGGTGAGCGCTCTAACCACTGAGCTACAGGACTCCACGTTGCTGTGTCAGGACACGTGAATGAAATGCAGATTGCAGTTGTTCCAAAACATTAGAAGTGGCTGAGTGAGGCCTAATGTGCAGCACACATGCTCATCTGAACTTTGCAACCCTGATCTGGAAAAAAAATGAAGTATTGGCTGGAATACAGAGAACAGGCCAGTTCCCTTTGTCCACTCATTGTACATGAAGTAAAGAATAATTTGTTGAAAGCTGCAGCCTGTGCGTGTTTGGCTTTGTTTACTCTCATGAATTTGAACTTGCCTCAAGAGATAATGTTTCTTCCTAGTCCCTGCCTTCCACCTACACAAGGGTTCGATGCATAACTTCCCAAAACAAGACCGTCATTCTTTCAGCTTTCTCTGGTCAAAATGCCTCTTTTCAGCATAATCGTCACATGTAGTAAGTGATAATGTGGTAAGTCTTATTGCAGCCCACACTCACTGCGATGTACAGCTGAAGTCTGCACGCGCCGGGTCACAAGGCTGCATACTTTTTATAAGTCGTTTTTTTGTATGCACATCGATTGCATTCTTTCTCCGGGTAGATAGAGTGCACCACTTATTATTTTTTGAACTCCTCCTCCTCCTTCCTCCTCAAAAGCAAGTTCTAAGCTGGTTACAGATAATGTACATTTGTACTCAAAAAGAATCCAGTCCTTTCCATCTGCTATCTAAACCTAAATCCAATCGCCATTACTCTGATATACCTCTGGTGTTCGAGTGTTGCAAAACCAGACAGTAATAATAATAAAAAATCCTTGTATTTGGTTTAACACATTATGTTATTGAGATGCCTTGAAGTGCTTCACAGGATTCACTATAAAGTGTAGTGGCTGTGTTTTTGTAGGCAAACATGGCAGACAATTTGTGCATCGCAATGTCTCAAAAACAGCCATGGAGTGAGTGATCAAGTTTATCTAGGGAATTGTTGACCAGAGAATCTCCCTTTTTGATTAATGGCAAGGGATGGATCGTTGACGTCCACCTGATCAGGCAGATGGGACCTTGGTTTAACATCTCATTTGCAAGATAGCACCTTCCACAGTGCAGCCCTCCCCAGCACTGCATTTGAGTGCAGGTCAAACTGACAAATGATATTCTGTCCATCTGCGACCAGGGCTCCCTCTGCCTCCTTGTCCTCCTTAACCTCTGCTGCCTTCAACACCGTCGACCACTCTATCCTCATCCACCGCCTCTCCTCTCACCTCAACTTTCACTGTTCTGTCCTTGACTGGTTCAAATAATAATAATAATCCTTGCATTTGATATAGCGCTTTTCATGTCGGGAGGACGTCCCAAAGCGCTTCACAGAATACACTGTAAAGTGAATTGACTGTATATTTGTGGGCGAACGCGGCAGCCAATTGCGCACAGCAATGTCCCACAAACAGTCGGGAATTGAAAATGACCAATTTATTATTGTATTTTTTTGGAGGGATTATTATTATGCTCTCCCTATTCTGCAGTCATGATAGCCATGATCTTGGGCAGAGGACTATTATAAGTGAGATAACCATTCCCCTCCATTTTCCACACCAGTTAGGAAATTACCACTTTCCTGCCAAGTTAGTTTTGTGCTGTGGATATTTATCTGCTGGAGACTGCTGAAACTCATCTGACATAAAAGCCTTAGAACCAGCAGAGAGAGATGACTCTCCCAACAACATGAGCTGGATTCAAAGCAGATCCCAGCAGTAAAAGGGCTTTGCTAATCTTTCTAG